GTTCCCATCCCCTGTTATTTTATATTAGAATATTCGAGAAAGTTTTGGGAGATCGCTCCCGGTTTATTTCTAAATTGTTTTAAAAAATAGTGCGCAAGGACATATTTCGTTTTCTTAATCGACCATTTTTTTAGACATTAGCAAAGAATTACGACGTGTGCAGTGTAGCATAATTAAACAATTTTCTTCAAAAAATTATCTAATTTAAGTGTATTAGAATATTTAATCTGTATTTGCACATTTTTTGTTTAAGCATTTTTCATTTGCGCATTGTTTCGCTTGCACAGTTTTCTGGAAACACACACACACACACACACACACACACACACACACACACACACACACACACACACACACACACACACACACACACACACACACACACACACACACACACACACACACACACACACACACACACACACACACACACACACACACACACACACACACACACACACACACACACACACACACACACACACACACACACACACACACACACACACCACACACCACACACACACACACACACACACACACACACACACACACACACACACACACACACACACACACACACACACACACACACACACACACAACACACACACACACACACACACACACACACACACACACACACACACACACACACACACACACACACACACACACACACACACACACACACACACACACACACACACACAACACACACACACACACACACACACACACCACACACACACACACACACACACACACACACACACACACACACACACACACATATATAATATATATATATATATATATATATGAAGTTTACCCCATCCCTCCCTTTAAAAAAATGAATACCAGGAGAATTATAGAAAATTGATGTATGTTTCATCTAATGATGCTTTCTTATTTACGCTTTGCGTATGGGTGGGTATGTGAAAAAATTGATGCGTCTTTGCTTTTCAGTGAAGTTATGTTTATCTAGAACCACTCATCGCCGTATCTCTAGCTGTGGTATATTAAATTCTTAGTGGGCAGAGGAGTGGACAAACTTGTCGCAAAGATCGCGTGTCGTTATCAGCAAGAGGTATTTGCTAAGGTTATATATAATGACAGAAACTCATCGTGATCTTCACAAAACTCGACTGTTCTTTCAACGGAATGTTTAAGAGTAGACATCTTAAACCCAACTTCGGGGTTATACCTCAAGGGGGTGTCTTTATTAGTGCTTCTTTGTATGTGCTTTATGCAGGGTTTCTTCCAGGCATCTCTTCGGGGGAGGGGGGTGCGAAGCCCCCCCCCCCCGGAAATTTTTTTTACCGCCCCCCCCCCCCGACGAAATGAAACGTATATAATTTATATAGAAAATCTATACTTTTAACAGTGTGTCCCCCCACCCCTCGAAGAAAGTTTACCGCCCCCCCCCCCCCCCCCGAAAATTTCAAGTGCCCCCCCCCCCCCCCCCCCCCCCCCGGAGAAAAAAGTCTGGGAAGAAACACTGGCTTTATGTTGGATAAACCTATACTATAGGCTATAGTTATTTTTTTTTAACTTACGCAATAATCTTGATGTAGTACCCTTTTACACATTCACAAAGTTGTTTTACATATGGTAAACATTCATGCATTTCTAATTGCACAAAATAGTAGGTCTACATTTACAAAAGCTAAACATTAATACACTTTCGTATTGCATAAAATAGTGTATATATATATATATATATATACCTATGGTAAACAGTGTTTCTTTCAGACTTTTTTTCTCTGGGGGTCATTTGATATTTTTGGATGGGGGGGGGGGGGGGGGGGGGGGGAAGGGGCTAAATTTTCCGGGGAGGGGGTGGGGCGGACACTAGTAAAAGTATATATTTTCTATATGAATTTCATTTCGTTGGGTGGGATGGGGAGGGGGAGTAGACTTTCTTAGGTGGCTCGCCCCCCCCCCTACCCCCCCCCCCCCTCAAGAGATTCCTGGAAGAGACTCTGACGATATAAGTAACGCATTTTCATTGCATAAAATAGTAAGCCAAAAGGGGCGTCAACAGAAGTACTCTACTCTAATTCAGCCCTTTACACTTTTCATTTATTTCAGAGATGTACAGCACCGCAGTCCAATCTCTAGCACTGCTAACGCTCGCCGCAACAGTCTACGCCAGCTGCAAGCACACGGACTGGTCTCGGTACATCGAAAAAAACGCGGCATGACGACCTGCGACCGGTACGGCAACATCATTGCCGGCTTCTACTATAACAAAACCGGCATCAAGCACATCTCAAACCAAGGGCTGGAACTGGTCAAATGCTGCAACAAGCCCAAACCTTGGCTGGAGAGTTATAAGTTCCCACGACGAAGACTGGAGCGAAACTCTGGAAGAAAATGACGCATGGGCTTGCTGCCCCGCCCGGTGCCTTTTTAAACGGGTTGTATAAAAAACAAGGGGGCCTGGAAGACTGGGGATGTTAAAAAAGGTCGCTGCACGACCGCGCGTAACCATCCCAAGTCGTACGACTATTGTTATGACCACAAGACGAAGTCGTGGATTAAGGACCAGGGGTGGACCGTCTGCCGCAACAACACGTACGTCGTGGGGTTACACTTCAACGGCTGCCCACGGCTGAGCTGCGTGGACAAGCTGCGCTGTTGCAAGTTCTGAGATCAATTTCTGTACCCTGTCTGTCACTGCTAAAAAAAATAATTAATAATTTAGCTTTAAATACACACCACGAAAAACTATAACACTTTGAATTCCTTATCTATATTTTTTTTCGATTTTAACCGCCCTACCCATTTTCTCCCCCCCCCCCCCTTCGCTCAAATTAACGTCACATTTAGCCATACAAGATAACTAATAAATAGCACTTTTCCTAAAAGAAATAAAATTCTTTTTGTTTTTAATAATATCTATTACTATTATTACAATTTACAGAGGTCTTTGCATATCTGACGTAACTGCTAAAAACACCTACCCCTACCTCCTCCCCCTCGCTTCCCCGAACCAGCTATCTAAATACCACTAAAACTCAAGTTTGTTTACATGTTTGAATATTTATTTATTTATTTTTTATTTTTTTATTTTTTGTTTGTTTGTCTGATTGACTACTGGAGAGAGTCTGCACTATGTGCCTATTACACTAATAACTTAGCTGTCTAGACTCGTGACGTCACTGATGTTTTTTGTCGTATAAGTTAATACTATGAGTCTCCTTATGCAACTTGAAAATGCACAATAAAATACATCAATTTCTAATTTTAGTGATTGACCTTGCAACTTGCATTTCAGTAAACTAGTTTAAACTGTGCTCAGATAGTAAAATTTACTCTCAAAACAGTATTTTTTTTCTTGTTCAATTACTAAAAGAGAGAGAGAGAGAGAGTAAAGGAGGGTGACACCTCAGCGAAAATGCAAAAAATTTGGGAGAGCTGTGGGATGACGGGTCTAAGACATTAACCCCCCCCCCCCACACACACACACGCCGGATATTCCCCACCTCCCCTTCCACAGACATCCCCCCCCCCCCCGCCGGAGTAATTACTACATGTCAATTATCCCCCCCCCCCCCTCAATCCTTAGGAACCCTGACCCTAACCCCGGAAACTCAACCCCAAACCTATAGCTAAACTTTACCCCTACATCAGTCATAACACCAACTCTAAACCTATATCTAACCCTCACACTAGCCCTAAGCCTAATCCTAGCCCTAGCTTCAGTCCTAAACTTAACCTTTATTCACCTAACCCTAACTGGACGGGGAGGGGGGATGTAATCGCTACCGGGGGGGGGGGGGTAATGTCCTGCTCCGGAGTTACCATCAGGTCACCCCCAGTCACCGCACAGGATAACACCCGACCTGATGACTTCACTGCTCTAAGGTTTGCTGTTGTTGTTCACCAGCCTTTAAAATATTTCTTAAACAATTTTAATTTCTGCCTGATGTGAAATACAGAAGCTTATTAAAACTTTAGGCTAAGATCGGACTTTCGGCAAGACATAATCTTCATAGTTTCATTACTACTAGTAAATGCAAAATGGAAATCTTAATCACTTATAGTAAAAAAAAAAGATTAAAAACTGTTAAGTGATTAACATTGATTTTAAGTGAGCATTTGTTTTATTCAAATAAAAGCTACGATTCCGAATAAGGTGGTACATGGGGAAGATGCAGTAGAGTTCACCTGTTTCTGAGACTTTGGCATGGGAACAGAAAGTGTTGTCAGCACTGTGTCCAGCCATATCTACCTTTCCTAACCTGCGGTGGGTGAAATCAGCGTTGGATGGATTGAGATTTGATATTGAATCAAGTTCGAGTTCAGAGCTCGAGACATTTGTGTTAGCAGTCGTACCCTCTACCATCGGATCACACAGTCCCATTTCAGTTTATATAAACGGGCATTTTCAAACTATTTCTCATTTTATTTATTTAAAGTTGTTTTAGTTCGGTGTGCCTCGAATTGTGCATTATGTTTTAAAAAGTTGTAGCGTTATGTTTTTTTTTACAAAACGTAGTGTTTTGATATTATACCCTCCCTCTGCAAACGTACTCCAGACCCATCTTCTTTTCCCGTTAGTGCACAAGACACACTTGTAAATGAAATAGAGTTCATCTGTTTCCGAGACCTCGGCACTTGACGGGATAGTGTGGTCACCCACCTTTACTTTCCCTAACGCGAGCCAGGTACCCAACAGACCTGAGTAGACTCAGGAACGGTCTACTGACTTGAACACGGATCCGAAAAGAGGAATAACAGCTACAAACAAGACAGTACGATTGAAAAATGTGATAATACTATTTTAATCATAATTTCAAAATGACGTTTCATAATAGGGCTGGTAAGTAGGTCACCAACCAGTTCTATGGCTCATGCTGGTTTTATTGAGCCGTAGAACTGGTTGATGACCTACTTACCAGCCCTATTGAGCCATTGCTTTTTTTTAGTACGTCGTAATTTGAGTGTAAATACTTGAAGCAGAAATAGTTCAATTGTTGCTGGTGTGAGATAACTGTTGTAATTGTATACTGAGTTACAGTACAGTCTATTTTAAGTGTAGCTACAAAACAGTGCTGTGCTTATCATTGTCAGAAAGTTTTGACCCAGCCCGTTCTGTTGTGTTTGGTGTTTTAGTTTTATTCAACAACATGAGAAAAACTTGTTCCAGTGATGCCTGCTGTATGGTGTAATGTTCAAGGTCGAGATCTTTCTTGGCTGTCTCCATCTTGTCAAACACTACAGAGGGAGGAAACATTTCTGCTGGGACTTGAAGGTGGAGGTAGGTGTCCAGTTGGTTGAATATCTACAGAATAAATACACAATCTTATGGTGGGGATAGGTGTCCAGTTGGTTGAATATCTACAGAATAAATATACAATCTAAGGGTGGGGGTAGGTGTCCAGTTGGTTGAATATCTACAGAATAAATACATAATTTAAGGGTGGGGGTCCAGTTGGTTGAATATCTACAGAATAAATACACAATCTAATGGTAGGGTAGGTGTCCAGTTGGTTGAATATCTACAGAATAAATACACAATCTAAGGGTGGGGGTAGGTATCCAGCTGGTTGAATATCTACAGAATAAATACACAAAGGGTAGGGGTAGGTGTCCAGTTGGTTGAATATCTACAGAATAAATACACAATCTAAGGGTGGGGGTAGGTGTCCAGTTGGTTGAATATCTACAGAATAAATACACAATCTAATGGTAGGGTAGGTGTCCAGTTGGTTGAATATCTACAGAATAAATACACAATCTAAGGGTGGGGGTAGGTGTCCAGTTGGTTGAATATCTACAGAATAAATATACAGAGGGTGCTGGTAGGTGTATAATTGGTTGAATATCTACAGAATAAATACACAAAGGGTGGGGGTAGGTGTCCAGTTGGTTGAATATCTACAGAATAAATACACAATCTAAGGGTGGGGGTAGATGTCCAGTTGGTTGAATATCTACAGAATAAATACACAATCTAAGGGTGGAGGTAGGTGTCCAGTTGGTTGAATATCTACAGAATAAATATACAAAGGGTGGGGGTAGGTGTCCAGTTGGTTGAATATCTACAGAATAAATATACAAAGGGTGGGGGTAGGTGTCCAGTTGGTTAAATATCTACAGATAGGGGTAGGTGTCCAGTCGGTTCAATATCTATAGAACAAAAATTATGTTTGGGCTTATTTGTTACCATAGCTAAATAAATGCCTATTCTATGGCGTACTTTTCTTTTCCACAAGCGCAGACGCACGCCCCCTCCCCGATATATATATATATATATATATATATATATATATATATATATATATATATATATATATATATATATATATATATATATATATATATATATATTAGTCATTTTCTTGGTTTCTATAATAAAAAATATTTAAGAATTTAAAATGTGTTGCCCAGAAGCTGTACAACTTAGAGAAATAAGAGAGAATTGTTGGATATATATTTTTATTTATTTTTAATTGCCACGTCGTTGTAGTTCCTAGTTTTTATATTTCCCTCTCACCTCTATCTGATCAAAGAGTTCCTTCAAGTATTTGATCACTTCATCCATGGCATGTCCAGGTTGAGGTTTCAGATGTACAATGATGGTCAAACCTTGGGCGTATTTTGTCTTGAGGTGCTGGGGGGTGCCCAGACACAGGAGCTTGCCCTGAGCCATGATGGTCAGACGGGTGCACAGGGCCTCACACTCCTCCATGCTGGACACAAGACAAAGCAGAGACTATAAATAGTACAATCATCAACTTGAAAAATAGAAGAATTCATTTACCCTTTACAAATACTGAAAAAACTGTGTATGTATGTCAATGTAATTTATTAATTCGATTACGTATTTTATCAATATACATAAGGGGAAGGCTAAAAGGTCACAAGGCAAAGATGACACAGGGCCCCCCCCCCCCCCCAAAAAACCTTATAAAAACAGTTGAACTTTCCGTGGAGCAGGTGAAGTAGAGTTCATCTGTGACAACGGGATATGAAGGGACAGTGTGGTCAGCACTATGTCCAGCCACTTTTAGCTTCCTTAACATGATGCAAACAGCGATAGGATTATAGTTAGAGTTAAATAAATAAAACCATTTATAAACGACTTATATTAAGATCCAAATGTGCATATTTAGCCCCACCTTAACTTTCGTAAACTATGATTTAAAATAAGCTGTAACGGATCATTTGCTTTGGTCCCCTTTCACTCCTATTATTTATCTTTTTCAACCTGTAAAACGTGAGGTCGCTAGTCTAGACGGATTATCACTTTTTCTTTCAGGCATCTCTTTTGATGATGATGATGATAGTGGTGATGATGATGCTGACGATGATGTTGATGACATTGGTGATGATGATGATGATGATGATGATGATGATGATGATGATGATGATGATGATATTGGTGCTGATGATGATGATGATGATGAATATGACGATGATAAAGGTGATAAAGAAGAAGAGGATGATGATATCGGTGATGATGATGATGATGATGAATATGACGATAATAAAGGTGATGAAGAAGATGATGATGATGGTATTGGTGATGATGATGATGATAATGATGATGATGATATTGGTGATGATGATGATGTTGATGATGATGATGATATTGGTGATGATGATGATGATGATGATGATGATGATGATGATGATGATGATGATGATGATGATGATGATGATCATGATGATGATGATGATGATGATCGTGATGTTGATCATGATGATGATAGTTATGTAGGTCCGTTTAAAACAAAAAGAGAAATACAGAAAAAAAAACAAAGAAAATAAACAATGAAAAATGAAATGAAAAGCTATGGCTTAAGAAGCCAGATAAAAATGTCTACCACCTACCATTGGGACGATAAAACTATGGTACAGCCCTGTGCTCTTCTGTCTTGCAGCATGCTCCAGACCATCCTCTTTTCCTTCATATCCATACCAGATGTCGGATCGTCCAATAATAGAAATTGGGGATTCCCAATCAACGCAATCGCAATGGATAATTTACGTTTATCGACTACACTGTAAAACAAGGGTTAAAGTTGAAAAAAATATATACAATTGTCAATGTCTTTTATAAGCAGGAGAAAATGTTGTGGCTTTTAAAATTTAACTCACAACTATTAGGTAGATTATACAAAATAAGTAACATTAATAACATTTATATTTTTATAGACGATACAAACTTTAGCATTGTTTTGACTGACACAAGTTAGCATCAATAATTTACACCGGCTTATAAAAGACAAAATATTCAAATATATTTATTTTCGTAATAGATTCTCAAATTTTGCATATTACTCTTTGCATTTGCCGTAATATCTTTCCAAGAAATATTTACTTGTAAACAGCTGCCATAAAATGTTTACCTTTAATATTTTGCCATACAATGCTCACCGTTAAATGTTTACAGGAGATATTTTGCCATAAAAGTCAACGTCTAACAATTTGCTATAAAAGATATATTTTATCAAAAAAATATGTACAGATTATATTTTGCCATAAAATATTTACCTGTAACGCTTTGCTATGAAATATTTACCTGTAACACTTTGCTATGAAATATTTACCTGTAACACTTTGCTTTAAAAATATTTACCTGTAACACTTTGCCCTTTTGCTTTAAAAAATATTTACCTGTAACACTTTGCTATGAAATATTTACCTATAATATTTTGCTTTAAAAAATATTTACCTGTAACACTTTGCCCTTTTGCTTTAAAAAATATTTACCTGTAACACTTTGCTTTAAAAATATTTACCTGTAACACTTTGCTATGAAATATTTACCTGTAACACTTTGCTTTAAAAAAATATTTACCTGTAACACTTTGCCCTTTTGCTTTAAAAAATATTTACCTGTAACACTTTGCTTTAAAAATATTTACCTGTAACACTTTGCTATGAAATATTTACCTATAATATTTTGCTTTAAAAAATATTTACCTGTAACACTTTGCCCTTTTGCTTTAAAAATATTTACCTGTAACACTTTGCTTTAAAAATATTTACCTGTAACACTTTGCTATGAAATATTTACCTGTAACACTTTGCTTTAAAAAAATATTTACCTGTAACACTTTGCCCTTTTGCTTTAAAAATGTTTACCTGTAACACTTTGCTTTAAAAAATATTTACCTGTAACACTTTGCTTTAAAAATATTTACATGTAACACTGCTTTAAAAAATATTTACCTGTAACACTTTGCCCTTTTGCTATAAAAATATTTACCTGTAATATTTTGCCAGTTTATCAGCATGTGCTTCCAGCATAACTTGTTTAAGTAGGACATTGATGACCTCTTGAAGGTTTTCTTTTGGAATTCCTTTCAACCGCCCGTAGAGCTGAAGGGACTCTCGTCCTGTCAGATCACCATGGAAACCATCTTGTTGGGGACAGTAACCCATATTCTGATAGATCTGATAAAATATGACAAATACGATATATATATATATATATATATATATATATATATATATATATATATATATATATATATATATATATATATTGACAATCAATTAAACTGTTCAAATAGACTAAAATTATTCTACACACGATGAATTATTAACTGTGATATTTTTGTCTGATATATTTTGTCTGAGATCATTAATACATGATATCACATCGTCCCGATACTTTTGGACATAAGATCTCTTTTCAGTCAGGTCATTTGTTCCTGAGATCCTGAGGTATTTTATTTTTGATATTTTGACTGAGGTAATTTATCCAGAGATAATTTGTCACGGAATTATATATATATATATACATATATATATATATATATATATATATATATATATATATATATATATATATATATATATATATATATATATATATATATATATATATATATATATGTATTTATATATATATGTATATATATATATATATACATACATATATATATATATATATATATATATATATATATATATATATATATATATATATATATATATATATATATATATATATATATATATATATATATATATATATATATATATACAGTGTAGCTATATATTATCGACTTGTACAATCAGATGAACAGGGTAGAATCGTTTCACTCACTTTAGAGGAGCTGATTTTAAATTTAATTCCGCTGTAGTAAACATCGCCACTAGAACAACTGAGGTCGTTGTAAAGTAGCTTAAACAGCGCTAACTTCCCACTTCCGTTGGGCCCTAGCAGGCAGAAGCATTCACCTTTTTGGATACCCAAACTGATGTAGTCCACGGCTGAAAAGGACTCCTGCTCTGCCTCATCGCCGACTTTCTTTAAAATCAGCGCATCTGTTCGTGTGAAATTCAAACATACAGAGAATTCTATAAGACAAACATTTGTTGATTTGCGTTTGCGTGGTTTGATGGTGGTGCGTCTAAAAAGGTCATTCAAGACGAGCGAGGTATAAAGCATTATAAAGCTCGTGTTCCTTGATCTAGGTATAAAGCATTATAAAGCTCGTGTTCCTTGATCGAAGTATAAAGCATTATAAAGCTCGTGTTCCTTGATCGAAGTATAAAGCATTATAAAGCTCGTGTTCCTTGATCGAAGTATAAAGCATTATAAAGCTCGTGTTCCTTGATCGAAGTATAAAGCATTATAAAGCTCGTGTTCCTTGATCTAGGTATAAAGCATTATAAAGCTCGTGTTCCTTGATCGAAGTATAAAGCATTATAAAGCTCGTGTTCCTTAATTTAAACGCCTACCTGTCTGAGATAACAGCTGCATGTCTGTATTTAAAATTCGGTTTCTTTCGGCAATGACATCATCATCTAATTGTTCTGTCTTGTCGGTCTTGTCACTCTGGCATAGCCCAGGCACACTGCAAATCATATATAGCATATATATATATATATATATATATATATATATATATATATATATATATATATATATATATATATATATATATATATGCTTTGACCATAGGGGGTTTGACCATAGGGGGTTTGACCACAGCGGAGCTTTGACCATAGGGGTTTTGACCATAGGGGGTTTGACCACATGTGTTTTCTCAGCAGAGGGTCTTTGATCACAGGTGGTCTATCAACTGCTGATATATATATATATATATATATATATATATATATATATATATATATATATATATATATATATATATATATATATATATATATATATATATATACATTATATATAAATTATATAGAAACTATATCTTGATATGTATATTTATACCTAAATGTAGGCTATACGAATACGTATGATATTGTGTGGATATATTTTTGTGTGTGTTTATCGATGACGTCTCTGTCTGAGTACTTGACAAATATCTGTATTCCCATATCTCTGCTGGCACAAAGACTACTTACGTCGATTCGACCAGATGGCAGAAGGCCAAGTGACCCACCAAGACCAGAGTCCAAAAAACCAAGGCAAACAGTAAGGCCGCCGTGACGTATCTAACGATAAGCATGAACAACGGGATCCCTGAAATGTAAACAACGTAACATAGCATATGATAATACCTGAGTTTCTTCCAGGCATCTCTTGGGATGGGCGCGACAGGGGAAGAAGTTCCACCGCCCCCCCCCCCTCCAAAGCGCAATGGAATTTACATAGGAAATATATTCTTTAACAGTGTCCGCCCGGAAATTTTATCCCCCCCCCCCCCCGAAAATTTCAAGTGCCCCCCCCCCTTCCTCCCTTATCCCCCCCCCCCCCCCGAGAAAAAAGTCTGGAAGAAACACTAGGTAACAGCAAACAGTATCTCCTTTATTTAGTAGGTTATGCTACGCTTGTTTATCGTCGATCGAACAATTAAAAAAAATTATCATAAATTAAATCTTCCTCATGAAATTTATTCTCTAAATGCTTAATGAATCGGCATCTTATGATAAATTGCTTGACCGTTTACCTTCCAGCTTTGCTGCGCTGATGTAGTTAACGAAAAAATGAAGATTTGGAGAAATTAGAACAGTGGTTTCTTCAAGGGGTGTAAATCTGTTCACTGAAAAAAAAGTTTTTAACTCGTGATGTTTTCTCAGTAATTAAAACTTTCGGCGTGAAATATAATATATTTTTAATGATATATTTATTAATTTAAAAAAATTTGCAGTTTACATTCAAAGGGCGATAACTGTACTGTTGCTTTTCAGAAAGGGTCTAAATTTATTCTTTTATAAACACAAATAAATTACTCCTTCATTTCATCATGGCTTATTTCCAGAGCAGCATTATTATGACGCTAGACCCTGCAGTGCGAACGGATGGGGTGGGGTGCAGGCCAGGGTCCCAAAAATCGAAAAAAAAAACAACCAAAGACGTTTTTCAGTCTAAAACATTTTTTCCCTAGAGGTTACTTAGCGTCTACCGCCCCCACCCCCGAACGAAATAGAATTTATATAAAAACATATTTTTTTACCAGTATATAAATACCTGCCCTATACTCCACAGGGAGTGATGAGGATTAAGAAATACGAGCCGAGTCGCGGCGTATCATACCATACGCCGCTATTTAGTTGTTTTATTTTCTACTTTTCAGTAATTCATAATTTGTGAATTCGACAGTACCACTGTTGTCACTGAAAATATTTGGTTTAAAACACTATCAGTAAGTCGTTAACTCCCCCCTCTCCTCTTAGCTACCTCCCCTAAGTTTAAAATCGTTTCAAACTAAATTATCTGCCCCTAATAGCCGTCACTAAACCCAGCTCTACGATTGTAAACATTTAGCGTGAACCACAGCTCACCAGACTTCCTAGAGAGGAAGAGAGGGGACTGCAAGGCGCGCTTACAGCTTGTTTTCTAACGTCTCCCAGAAGAGAATTATATATATATATATATATATATATATATATATATATATATATATATATATATATATATATATATATATATATATATAAATACCAAATAGTAAAAAAATGTAAGCAATTAAAATGTTTTAACATT